AAAAATGGTTAACATCAAGTAGATCTATAAACATATGAAAATCTTGAATATGGACGGTGTAGATAATATGTTGTAAAATGCACTAATTTTTAGACTTAAAATCTTTTTATTTTTCATGGTTATACATCTCGATGTCGAGATGATCAATCAAAGGGTCTTCAACATTAAAACTACCTTTTATGATGGATTTTTGAGGTGCATCTGTAGTTCTACATTGTAAGGTTGCAACCTTTTATAAACTTTTTTTTTATTTTTTATACAAACGGGTCCCAATTTTTAATGACTGTTGGATGTGAAATCAGTTGATTAAGGGTGTGTTATTGATTGAGCACAAAGTTTAAAATAAAATTTCTCAAATATTGTGACACACTGCAATTTATGGGATTTCATATCTAATGGCTAAAAATGATTGAGACTTCATTGTAATAATAGCAATAGTCTCATAGTATAATTACCAAATAAATTAATTTATTGCAATATTTTGCTGCTTTTGGTTATTATCATGATAAAAACCTTTCTTGAAATAACATTGTAGAAAAATTAGTAATCTAAAATTTAAATGAAAAGCATCAATTACATAAAAACATTTCTAAAATATGAATAAAATAAAGGGATTGTCTACAAAGAGACTATATATCTTTTGTACATGGAGGTCACAATCATTTTCGGCCCTTAAATTTCAAAATGGGTAGGTATAAGAGTGACATTGAATAGACACAAAGTGTGAAAAAAAAAAATCTTGAACGTCATGACTTATTCCAAACCATCGAATTTGACATCTAATGAGTGTTTCAAAATGTGTTGTTGTAATAGTATCATTTAGTAGACACAAAATTCCATAAAAAATAATTCTCGAATGTCAAGACTTACTTCAAACCATTCAATTTGGCATCTAATGAATGGAAATGATTGTGACCTCCATGTACAAAAGATGAATTGTCTCCTTTTAGACAATAGGGACCAAGACTTGGGCTAGCCCCATAAGGACCAAGGCTGGCTAAGACCAAGGTTTGCCCCCATTAACTACAAAAAAAAAAAGACAAAATTTAAAGCAGTCTAGGTTGAGCCTGCCCAACTACATTATAGTTGAGTTCGGGACCTGGCTTGATTACAGTTTGGGTTCCACTAGAGTTTCTTTGCATGGCTAGATCCACCATGCTCCCAATTGGATGAGCCAACTCATCCAATTGATTACCCTTGCATAAGCAGCAGGTGGATGAAACTTGATCGCATGGGCCAGGAAGAAAGGACTCTTATTAGGCCCCATTTTGTTCCCTGAAAATGGGTGTTCTAGGGAGATGCCTCTTCCGTAATTGTATCTCCAAGGATTTACTTGAAATATGTGCTTTGCAGTTTGGATAGTATCTTACAAGAGACTTGGAAGTTGCATGTCCACTAAGTTAGCACGTCAACAAATAATCGGCAAACCAAAACATTGATAATAAAATCATTTTTTTCTTTAAATGTCGTAGGCAAAAGTTCAGGTAAAAAATACGGATCACCAAAAAATAGTTAAGTTAGAAAATCAAGAATATTTCGAATTTGGTTAAAAAGAACAGAGTGAAAAAATCGGTTATATAATGATAATAAAATATAGAATTATGAGTTGCAGTCACTGTATATATACATTCAAACTATTGGATTATAATTTTTTTGACCTTACCTAGTGTCATGAGAGTCATACTTAACAAATTTTTATCTAAGCTTTCAATAACTACAATAACAATTCATACTTTGATGTCATGACACAAAGCATATGGTAGATTTATTGGGAGCATACAATCAATAACAACAAAAATAATACTAAACACAAAAACTACATTATGAAAAAATAAGAGCAGAACCCAAAATATGGGATTATAGTTGCAAGAAAAAAAAAACCAAAAAAAACCTTTAGTACAAGAATTCAGCTAACTAAAATACAAAAACTCGAACATGTAACATAGTGGACCATCCGATTTACTATGTTATATATAATATAAAAAAAAACAAAAGTAAGAAAAAATGAAATCAAGCAAACTTCTATATGCTGAAGAAAATAACAAAATGCTTCAACAAATCAAAATATTCGAAGCTCACTCTAAATTCCTAGCTGCGTAAATCTTTGATTTTCACTGAATTCCTCTTTTACTCTTTACCACGATGCTTTATATTTATAAAATAAGATTTTTCATTGGGTTACTCTTCATCAAATTCTAACTATTACTTAAGGGGTGAGGTTTGTATAGAGCTTAGGTTCTAGACAATTAAATTAGAGCCTACCTCTAATAGTGTCGAGAAATGTGGTGTCAATATTGAAAATCTTTGTCATAGCCTTAAAATATATTTTCATCGTCATTTATAAAGTTTAAAGCTTCAAAAATAGTGTAGATCAACATGTCTATGAAAACTTGAAAATCTTGAAAATTGACAGTAAAAAAATGCGTTACAAAATACACTATTTAGAAAACTTGAAATCCATTTTTTTCTCATGTCCATGCATCTTGATGTCGAGATGATCAATTTGAAGATATGTGGGCATCAAAACCATATGTTCTACCGAAATTTTTAATGTGCATCCTAATTTGATTGTTTAGAGCCCCGGCTCTATATAAACTTTTCTCTTACTTAAGATCTATGGTCGATTATTTATTAGAGAATATAATGAACATGTTTTTTAATAGAACATACGGGAGGAAATTATTGATGGAAATTGAGTTACTCAAGATTCTCAATTTACTTTCACTTTTAATGTGCTTATATCTAAATTAAAATTCGAAGATATTAAATAAATGAAGAGAAGTGTTTTTGATCTTTTGAAAAACTCGACATTCTTAATAGATTTTAAGAAATTAGAGATCTTGCTGAAAAACTCGACATTCTTAATACATTCTTAATAGATTTTAAAAAATTAGAGATCTTGCTGAAAAAAAATGTGTTTTAAACGGAGACTTGTTAACTATAATTTGGATTTTATTAATAAAATTATATTTTATAATAATATTAATATAATATTATATTGTAATATTATAATATCATAATGTAATATTTGTATGTATTATGATTATATATATGACAAGAAAAGCACTTAAAAACACTCAGGAGTGAAGTCCTACAGAATTTTACTTATAACACGTCATTGTCCAAACTTCATCAGACGGTCACGATTGTCTGCAAAAATTTAAATTTAAACTAATTTTCATAAATTAACTTGAAATTTTGTGGGTGTACAAATTGCCACATTTTGGCATCAAAAGCTAGATACAAATATCAACAAGGAGACTAAAATCCCCTCTCCAGACCTTATCCAAACTATAGAAAGGCCCGGTATCCATGCAAATGAGTCTCCTAGAAACCAGCCTTTGGTCTCTTAGAGTCATTTTTCACAAAATAGCCCAATCTAACCACTAACCGCCTGGTTAGATCATAACCGGCCAGTGGCCGGTTCCGGTTTTGGGCGGTTAGGGTGATCAACTGGTATTTAAAAGTAATAAATAAAAAATGTATATAAATTCTCAAAAATAAGAAATTGGATTTGTAATACATTTTTATATATTCTTTACATTTTGGCAAAGATTAAAAATTGTTTTGGTCATTAATACTCACTATTATATTTTCCCATCTTTTTAAAAAAAATTTAAACATAGCTCTTGAAAAATATAAAATGGGCTAAAATCCATTTTTTTCATTAAGTTTCAATTTCATTTGAATGTGATTTGTTTTAGTCATTATTTATATGCTTACCGTATTTTAGTAGATTATTTTTTTGTAATTTTTTTTTTAAACACTTTTTTTTACTTTTTTTTTAAACACTTTTTTTACCACCCGGGACTTACCTTGTTAGAGTGGTTGAATCGACTGGTTTACAGTTGGGCTGGTTAAACCGCTTCCAAGCCCATGTTAATTTAACCATTCCTGTTCGATTTTAAAAACACTGCTTACGATAAACCGATCGATTCAATCGTTCTAACCGGATAAATACCATACGGTCAAAAAAGTATTGAAATTTTTTTATAAAATATCAAAAAAAAAATCTACTAACTAATGAAAAACATATAAAGAATGATTAAAACAAAACACGTTCAAATGAAGTTGAAAATTAACGAAAAAATGGATTTTAACGAATCAATTTTGGAATCAAAGTGAATATTAATAGCCAAACTAATTTTTAATCTTTACCATAATGTAAAAAATATTTTAAAAAAAATATTACAAACCAAATTCCTTATTTTTAGGATTTTATATACTTTTTTTTTTAAAAAAAAAATATCGGTTGATCACTAAAACCGTCCAAAAGAGGAATCAGATAGAGGCCGATTCCGATATGCCTGGGCGGGTTAGTGGGTAGATCGCCCAATTTTTCCAACAGTGGTCTCTTATCATTTGGAAAGGAAACTTGGAACCATTGTTAGAAAAACTGGGTGATCTAACAGGTAACCGCCCAGTTAGATCGGAATCGTCCCCTTGTCAGTTTCGGTTTTGAACTATTTTGGTGATCAGCCGGTATTTTAAAACTAAAAATTCAAAAAACAATGCCTATAAAATCCCAAAAATAATGAATTTAAGTTGTAATACATTTTTTAATATTTTTTACATTATGGTAAATATTAAAAATTATTTTGGTCATTAATACTCACTTTTAAAATCTATTTTTTAATATATTGTCAAGTTCATTTAAATGAGTTTTGTTTTAATCATTCTTTATATGTTTTTCCTATATTAGTCGATGTTTTTTTACACATATATTTTTTTTCAACAATTTTTTGGCCGCTCTGGAGGACTTGTCTGGTTGGAACGGTTGAATCGACCGGTTTACTGGTCAGGCAAGTTAAACCGCTTCCCGCCCATGTCCTATTAACCGTTCCTATTCGATTTTACGAACACTGCTTGCAAGACATGAATCAACCAAGAATTTCGGGATTTTTACCATCACATCTATGTCAAATTTGACTAGAAAACCCAAGAGAAGCTACCATAAGAACCCCCATCTTTTTATTTACATACTAGAAGGGGAAATAATGAAAGAATACAACTTCATATCATAGGGACAACAGCCCAAAGGCCCAAAACCCCCTTAAACCAGAGTGGAACAAGACTTGGTCTGAGGATCCCATAATGCCGGCAACAAGTACTTGCGGCCATTAACGCCATTAGCGTTATAACTCACACCAGTCACCTTATCCACCAACAAATTCCCTGGGTACCCAGGGAATGCTCCATTGCCGTATGCTCCAGGACAAGCGGACGCAGCCTCCAGGGGTGCGCTCGCAGTCCCCTGGAAGTACCCATTCCCAAATGGGTTGGTCACCGTCCCAGCTAACAAGCTTGCCACATTGATTACCATCCCTTCCACACCCACATCGCCGTTAGGCGCGACAAGAGGCGGTGTCTGAGGCCCGAACATGGGTTGGTGGAATGGCCATGCGCATTGCCCTGGACACTGCGTCTCGGAGTTGCCCACCCAAATGTAAGCATATTTGCCTTTGCCATTTGGCGAGACCCCCGAGCCGTGAAATCCACAGCTGCTCATGCAAAAGCCATCTACAGTCACGTCAGGCGCCGTGAGCACCACCACCACGCCTGCACTCACCCCAGCCTTTGCCGCCAGCTTGGCGATGTGAGCCCTCTTAAGAGAATGGCCCATTGAGTAGGCCCTGTCGATGTGTTGTGTGCCAAGATGCACAGTGGCCTTGATTGCACCGGCTTTGGTGGCAGCGGGCGGATACTTATGTAAAGTGGCCCACCATGAGGAAACAGAAGGGGTGTGGGCGGCGCCCTTGATGGATGGATCGAGCGATTGCAAGAAGTCGGTGACGATGGCACGCTGAGATGGGGAGAATTTGCCATACCAGACGAGAGAGATGGTTAGATCGCCCTCAAGTAGTGCCCCATTGTGGTAACTGAGAACCAGAGGTGGTTGTTGCACCAGAGCTGTTAGCTTGCGCCCACCCATACAGGCTTGGACCAAGATCACCATGACAAGGGCCCTTAGCCCAAACTCATAACCAGAAAACCTCATTTTCTCTTTCTGATTTTGGGCAAAGGAGATAGGAATATGGATGATTGAGCTTGGAGAAGAGATGAAGAGAAAAAACTTCGATTAGAGCTAGGTTTGTGATTGAGCTTGAAAAGATAGAGGAGGGCTGGATGAAGGGAAGGGTGTGGGAGGGGAGTTTAAATAGAGAGGGGAAAAGAGTGAGATTTAAAGACAGAGAGACAGAGAACGATGCGTTGGTTCTATGCAGCTTCGTGACAAAAAGAGGGGCTGGCACTTTAGACCCAAGACTCATAAGGGTCTAAGACGACAGGATGGCATTTCGATCTCGTTGTTTTATTCAATGTGGGGTGACAGCAAGCTGGGTTACTCTTTTTCTTTTTCTTTTCTTTTTTTCTTGCTATTTTTTATTTTATTATTATTATTATTTTTTGTTTGTTAAGGTTTGTGTGGGTCCCTCGGTTTAACGTGCATAGAGAGAGGGTTTTGGGTTGCACCTTGATTTAAAGTACGTATATATAGAGAGAGAATTTAAGTGTGGCATCAATAAGCGATAAGATGATAAAGAGTAGGCTTAGGTATGCTGGTCATGTGTGGCGTCACCGACCAAATACATATGTTAGGAGGTGCAAGTTAATTCAAGTATAAGAATTGTAAAGAGCAAAAAGTAGGCTCAATAAGACGTGGTGTGAAGTATACCGACAATAGATGAGGATTTATGTCCTCATTGAGTGAAATTATGATCTTTAATAAAACAGGATGAAGTATTCATTTATATATATAGAGAGAGAGAAAGAGAGAGAATGGGGTATTTTGTTGCAATGTCTTTTTAGGTCTGGTAATGGGCCGGGCAGCCCAACCAGCTCGCTCGTCCTGCCCTAAAAGAGTGGGGCCTGGGCCATAAAATGTGACCCGAGGGCAGTCGAGAGCGAAGGCTGGCATGTCCCTCTTTTTCTTTTACTTTTTTCTTTCTATTCATTCTTAATTTATTTTTGGCCCGGCCCCAATAAGTCCAAGGCCGTGCCTGTGGCGGTCCTAAAGCGACAAGGGCTAGGCCGGGGGTGGCACCCTCATTCTCTTGTCTCATGGAACTTTCGCAGACGGAGGCATGGTCATATTGTCAATACACATTATGAACACACCTATTCTTCTTTGTCTGTTGTGAGAGAGGGAAAAGGGCATGGATGAGTTGTTTATGCTGTCTATTGACTTCACCATAGTATCCAAACTATCTTATCATATAATTAAATGTAAATACATCCACTTCTCTAGATCCCTACATTTCATGTATCTCGAGAGAGAGAGAGAGAAGTATTTTCTTGCAGCCCTTCGTGTCTAGGGGAACCTTCCTTACCTCGTGCGTGACACTATTAACCGGTCTACGTAAATGAATGTAACTGGTTTATGAAAGGCAGCTTGTTTCCTCTTAGGGAGCATGCACCTGCAATTTGGACTCTGAGGACATGTATTTTTAAATAAAAATTATAAGAATATCTTAATTTCTAACATTTTTTTTTTTACATCCTAAATACTACTTTTTATTATATTTATCTCTAGTCAACAATCCTAATACTAAAACCTCTCTCCCTCTTTACCACCCTCTCTCTATATACCTCACCCATTTTCTCTCTCTTTGGCTTACCTTAGCAGCAAGAAAAATAATAGCACGTGTGGTTTTCGGGCAGCCAAGATCCCTACTTTGGGGCACCAAGCACCATTTCTGGCCAACCAACTGGTTTCCCGGTGACAATGTCCCATTTTCTTTCCAAAAACAGAGGAGCCCATTGATTTCTGGGCCAAGAGGTCCTGGTTTCTGGCCAAATTCAGCCCATTGATTTCTGGGCCAAGAGGTCCTGGTTTCTGGCCAAATTCAGAAACCCGCATAGGTTACGGCAAAAATAGAAACCCAAGGGCAAGAAATAGAAACCCCGTAATTTTTGGGCAACAAAGGTTCCCTTTTCCGGCCAACCTAATGTTTTTTACGGCTACTAAAGTCCTATTTTTCTGGCTCCCCAAGTCCGGTTTTCGGTCATATATTGCGAGCTATTGTTTTACCGGTAACCAATAATCCATTCTCTGGCCCAAAGTCAGAAAATTGTTGATTTTTCGGTTCCCAAGGTCCCTATTCCGGCCAGAAAATCACATACCCTTCATGTTGAGTTCTAATGCCCAATGCCACATTACCATTTTTTTGCTTGAACTACTTGGTATCTTCAGGCGAATCTGGTTCGCATCTTATTTTTAATGAGAATGCTTTATACGTGACTCCACCCACATATAAAATATACTTGATCCTTCTCTCGGCCGTCTGATCTGAGTCCGTCTGATCTGAGTCGGAGTGGATGGTTGGGATGCCATGAATCACAATGTTGCAAGTTAGTTCTCAAGCATCAAATCTTGATCTAACCGCTTGGAGTCTTCTAGTTTTAATCTTTATCCTACAAATCATTTTGTTGCAAATTTTAGGGCAGACAAACATCTAAAAGGATTGAACATGATAAAAACAACAAAAAATAACATTTTCTTGGATAGAATATTTCCTTGGGTAGAAAATTATCGGAATATCCGGAAAACTTTTTGGGGCACTTTGGTCGTTTATTTTTACGAGAAATATTTTAAAAATTTTACTAGGTTTGCCCCAATAAGAAGATAGACCACCCAAAATTTCACTCAAAAAGATTTTGTATAAAAAAATTTATAATTCAAATAATGTTTTAGCATGACATTGTGATATAACCAATCCAGCCATCCATTCAAATCATCAATTCAAATCAGACGGATGAGAACAAGGGTCGCATAATAAGTTATGTGGACAGGATCACATAAAGAGTCCCCTCTTTAATAGGGGCAGGTTTTTAAAGGGAAAATATATCTTTATCCCTTATTTTTAACTTCTATATCTTATGAGACTCAAGAATTGAAAATATTACTTGTAAGCAACAGGTCTTCATCGTTTCTATCTTACAAACCCCTGGACCCATTTGACCATAAATTTTTTACCCAAGCAAACACTAAAATGACACCCTATTAGAACTCCATCTCTCTCTCTCTTCGCTTCTCAGTGAGTTTACCAGCCAAGGGCTTTAGCTTGTGCTCAAACACGAGCACACCTTCTTATGTGTCAAAGAGAGATGGAGTTTGGGTTTCAAAGAGATATGAAGTTTTAGAGAGAGAGATATCGAGTTTGAGTTTTAGGGAGAGATGGAGTTTAGAAAGAGAGAGACGATGATGTGAGAGTGAGAGATTGAATTTGGGTTTTAGGGAGAGATGGAGTTTTGAGAGAGAGATACGGAGTTTTAGAGAGAGAGAGATAGAGTCATTGCATATGTTGTTGAGGTAACCAATACATAGTCAAAAGGATTTAGGGGGTTGGAAGATAGAAAAGAGAGGAATCATTTTGCTTACAAATAATATTTTCTTGAATCTAATGAGATATAGAAATTAAAAATAAGGGATAATAGGATATTTTCCCTTTTTTAAACCCTTATTTCATGATGGGCATGCAAAAAATTTTGTAGTGGTTGAATTCAAAGATTGGCTTGATTGGATTATGCAGTGAAAATTGGATCACTGAATTACAAGTTTGCATCCTCCTCATGATCTATATATATATATAAAAAAAAGAATCCTTTTTGTGGAAGTGAAGTTTTTTACGAAATACGAAATAGTACTACTGGGATGGGTGACCTCCAATAAGTCTTGTTAGGCACCTCTCCCCTTCTTTTTTTCTCTTAACAAGAAAAATGGGGTGGGGAAACTAGTCTAGGGTTTGTATCTTGCGTTACCCCACAACCTAATGTTTTGGGTGAAGAAATCAACTTGAAACTAGCTTCATTTCAAAAAATTCCACCGTGCTTTTTAGGATGCTCAAATTCCCACTTTTACAATTGCATCAAGATGGATCACAAAACTCTACTAGAAAATGTTGCCCTACACTTAAAAACCTTCCAATTGATTATCATGACTTGGAGATGTATAGATATAAATAAATAAATAAATATATTTTCAAGTCTTAAAATAATGCATTTTATGATACAATAGTTAAACCATTCATTTTCAATATCTTCAAGTATTTATAGATATGCATGATTTGCACTAGTTTGGAGCTTTAAACTTCATTATGGAAATACATTGTTAGGTGAATGTCGGTTCTTCCGGCATAGGAATTGTATCATCAGGGTTTGAACTTGACACTTTATAATAAAAAAAAGAGTAATGATCCTTTAGGACCTTTCTCCACCCATGTGATAGAACCACAAAGAATCACCATTAAATTTAGCACGGATCTTTAGAAAATGTATCACATGGGTATGGAACTTGACTTTTTTAGAGATCCGTACCAAATTTAATGGTGATCCTTTGGGGTCCTACACACATAAGTGGGGAAGGGTCCTATAGGATCATTTTTCTAAAAGAAAAAGTTTATATAAGGTTGAAACTTTAAAATGTAGAATTAAGGTTGACTTCTGAAATCCTTCAACAAAGGTTATTTTGATGCTGGCAAAACATCTAATTGATCATCTCGACATCGAGAGTTATAGATATGGAGAAAAAAGAGATTTCGAAACCTAAAAATAGTATATCTTACAACATATTATCTAGACCGTCCATTTTCAATATTTTCATATGCCTATATAGATTTACTTGATTTGAACCATTTTTTTAATTTAAAATTTTATAAGGGATTGTTTACAAAGTGCTTATTTATTTTTTGTACATGTAGGCCATAGTCATTTTTGTCCAATAAATTTCAAAATGCGTTGTTGTAAAGTGTCATTGGATAGATACAAAGTTCCAAAAAGAAAATTCTCGGACTTTGTAACTCACCCCAAGCCATCCAATTTAACATCTAATGAGTATGAATGGTTGTGACCTTCATATACAAAAGATAAATGGTCTCTTTGTAGACAATCTCATTTTATAATTGAAGAAGTTAATATAAATGCAAGGCTCTAAACAATCAAATTAAGTTGCACCTCAAAAAAATTACTAGAAAATGTTGTTTTGATGCCCAAATATCTACAAATTGATCATCTCAACCTCAAGATGCACGGACATGAGAAAAAACGGATTTGCAGGTTTGGAAATAGTGCATCTTGTAATGCATTTTTAGACCGTCAATTTTCAAGATTTTTAAGTATTCATAGATCTGCTCGATCTACATTATTTTTTAAGCTTTCAATTTTATAATTAGAGATAAAAATATTTGAAGTCTATCAAAAAAATTTTCAATATTGAAACTACATTTCTTGATACTATTTGAAGGTACGGTTTACTTTGATTATTTAGAGAGCATTGGCTCTATACAAATCGTACCCTTTTATATCTAGAGAGAAAAATAGATTACCCCACGATCCTAAAATATTTCAGCA